TTTAAGGATTGTTTTTATGCACTCTAATGAAAAAATTATCTTTGCGATAGAAGCAATTTACAGTACACAATCACATTCTTGCATGTAAGAAATACAAAGATGCCTCTCTATTCATTCATTTTATAGAAGAACTTAAGTCCTAGCCTGTAAGAAAATGCTAGTTCCTCTAAGACTCCATTTTAAAATGTAAACTTGGAGTAGACAATGTCAGAGCCAGAAGAATTATTCAAGAAACATCTATGTCTTTATTCTTGAATTATATACTAATAGATAAAAAGATCCACTTAAAAATTATCATCTCATAGAAGACTGAAATTGCTTAAGTGCAATACACTGTTTTTCTAATATTTGTATCTTCAAGGGTGATTTGTGAACTTGCAGGTATGAGCGGGTATACGAGTGGAATGTAGAAAGATGCATTCAAGAAAAAACACAAATGCATTTCAATTCTTCCTTCATAAATGCTGTTCATATGAATCTCTCCCTTTTATCTTCAAATATATAAGGTACTGGATCATTTTAATGGTCACCTGCCAAATAAGGCCAGGTGCATCTCCCCAAATGATCCTTTGTAAGCACACTTATTTTAAATCGAAACTTGTTTCTTCTTTCTTATTTAAGCTGGCGTTCAAATAGGCATGGTTTCTATCATATTGTGCTAAAGTTTGGAAATTGGGCATTAACTTGCCTAAAACCTATACTTTTTTCAGCAAATACCTCCACTGAAAAACACTACCTGTGAATTAAGAGGGGGAGCAGAATGAGAAAAACCTTCTCTTTCCATCACTGTCAGCCAATAGGTGTTGGCTGACTGGCTTAAGAAAAGAACAAATGTAGTCCCCATAACCTTAGCTCTCTTGGATGATTCAAATGCAGGTATGACCATGCAGAGATGGTAAGTATGTTGAACTTGTAAAGGTATCTGGGATCAAGAAAATGGAACTTGAACAGCAATCAGCAGTGACACAGAAAAGCCCATCCTAAAGCATTTCCGTACTTGTGCAGTCTTGGGGACACACAGCTGGATCTTTGCTCTCAATCACATCACAGGTGCCATCCGGACAAGTCTTGATACTCGGGGTGCACGTGGAATAGTTTGTGGTGATCCCTGTGAACACAGAAACAGACGGCTGCACAAATACCATGAGACTTTGAAGGAAAGCTGATTGCATCTTAGTGTATGTTCACACACCAAAGAACAAGTCGCTTTTCTTTTTAAAGGAAACACTTATGAATATCTATAAATACCATCTGCTGAACTACAGACAGGATAACAGCTAAAAGCAACTGGAAGGAGTATATGTTTCACTATGTTTTCTGCTTTGTGCCTTTGACAGTCCTTTGGGTGTGTCACTTGCAGTTACAGTGAGTACTACTTGAAAAAGAGCTAGTTAACCATTTTGAGTCTGAAGAGTGGCTTTCGCAACTAAGGATGTCTCTACACTATTTCACACGTATTTGAATATGAAGTTACAAGTAGTCGAAGAGAATTTGTGATAGTCATGTAGTTTGAAGGGATAAAGCATCAACACAGAAGCATTGTTCTGGAAGAGTCAAGAGTCACCCGTCACATGTCTGCTGCAGACCACAGAAAACAGAGACAACAGACACTGCTGCCGTGCTCACTAACTGTCTGCTAGGGCATGCCTGCTCAGAGGCTCATTGCTGTGTTCCAAACTCAATTCGTGACCACAGAGGTTATCTTGCAAGCCAGAAATCACCTGTTCTGGTGACAGTGGTGCAAAACCAATTCAGTACCTTGCATGTTACGTGTCGTGTTCAGCATTACCAGAGACAAGATCAAGAACGACCATTCCAACTTAACAGCATTTTCCTTCCTAGTGGATGTTTTATTTGGGTATTATGATTAATTTTTTTAGCCACAGCTGCTGTGTAGTTTACAATACAATGCTGTCCAGCCGGAATAAATCAGTTTCTATCTATGGAAAACAAATGCACAATTATGACTAAACAGAAGCTTGATTTCACTCAACAGAAACATACCTTTTCCACTCCCCTGTCTCCACTGGCATCTTCCTGTTAGCACTCCCAGGCCACCACACTCTTCACATTCAGCATGGTGCTTACTCACAGCACAAGAGTCAGGGCAGTCCTCCTCTTTTTTTAAAACTGTTGGGAAAAGTGTTTGGTGTCAGTTCAGGACAAAGGAGATAAATACAAGATAAATTTGAGCAAGTCAGCTCAAATCAGAAGGAAAACTCCGTTCTTAGGGGTAGATAGGAAGGAAAGAAAGCTGAAGAAAGGGAAGAAGGATGGAACACTGACTGATGCAACTATCAGTAAACTTAAATAACAATTAAAGAAAAGTCCAGATGTTTCTTTTCTGTGAACTGTAAGATAAACATGATGGCATAGTTATCTTTGCTTGATAGCCCACTATCAATGCCTAGAGCCGTAGAAATATGCAAACATACTGACAGAACAGAAAAATAGGGACTGTAAGTACTTCATACAAAACCTTGTAATTAAGGGAAAACACTTAGTACTTGGGCTAATGCAGTAATAGGCCACAGAGCAAGAGCTGGAAATGTGCGATTTCAGACAGCACAAGGCCCTTGCAAAAAGAAAAGTCCACTGCAAGCTTTTGTTTCTTCCTCCTCAACTCATTTGCTCTTAGCATAGGAGTTGTGATATAGTACAAGGGAACGGAGGCAACTGTCAGGTAGAATTGTAAGGTTATGCACAAAGGGCAATATGGTTTGGAGAGAAATGATTACGTTTCCAGTGTAATCTCCCTCTGTTGTGGATGTTGTTGAATATTTCTTCAGTAAAATGAAGTCAATGCAGTTGCTACATGCACGTTAAAGAAAATGATTTTTATAAAAAGTAAAAATTGGAGAGAGAAGTAGGGAGAAAGATGATTGAATGAATATACTTAGGCCAGAGATTTGTGGTTTTCTATCTATATGCATGCACATATATATTTTTTCCTTCCATAGGAATATGTGAAATACAAAGTAAAGGTCATAAAGACACACACAAAAGATTCTTCTAAATCAAATATCACAATCATTAGGAATTGCGTATAATACACCACCTTCCTGTGCATCAGTTCAAGCAAATACCTGCTACAGGCAGGACTGAATCAAAACTCAAAACGCAAACTTTGCGATCCGTATCTTGTAGTTCAGGCTCATTTTCATTGTTAATGCCGTCAGTTTATAGATCACCCTACTAATGCATCATCTAACACCCGTAACGCTTGTAAATTGTAAATAGTTCTAATTGACTCGTGTACTTACGAGTTCCTTCCAATACAACAGTGAGGAGGGTTTTGGTATGTTTCCTGCTCTGCTTGTCTGTAGCTTGAATAGTGTATTGTATTTCCTTGCATTCAGGTCTGCGTAGCACAGAGGAATCATTCACATAAAGGCTTCCATATTTGTCTTCTCGGCCTTGAAGTATGCTGACAGGATAGCAGCTTACGTTGGGGGACAGTAACTTGTAGGTGATGTTCACACCACGGAATTTCATACAGTTTTCGATGCAGATTTTTCCTATCTAGGCTCAAACACCAACAAATAGATCACAGATCACAGAAACAAAACTATACATTAAAAATACTCCGTGCTTCCCAAAAATATCTGAAAGAAAAAGGAGCATATTGCACCTTGCAGAGTTCAGCATTTATCTTGGGTTTACAGATTTGATATTTTACTACCAATGCAGTACATGAATGCCTCAAATGTCACTGATTCTCAGTAAAAATGAGAGGTAAAGCATTACCATTGTCTTCAGCCTAACAGTGGAAATGCAAAAAGCCTTGACCTTTCAGACCGAGACTCGGTGACACTTGGTGCCCACTGCCGACAGTCAGCAGTGTTCAGTGAGAGCAAGACTCTGTGATTTGGGAAAGTCTGAGTTCAGCCCCTGCTCTGTCCCAGGCTGTTCAGTGAGAAAAACTTTGGTTTTGCTTGAGAAAGCAACCAGCTCAGTGTGAACAAAGCTGAGGCTCTTTTCAAGTATGTTAGAAATAGAAATTGCTAATGCATAATTTTCATAATGTTGCAGTCATAAAGTTTCTGGCCAGCAGAGTTCTCTGAAAGCCTTAAAAGGAATAAGAACCTCATTGTTTCCCATTTGCAATTTTTAACACATTTTTATCTAAAAATGAAAATATATTGGTTTCCCACATTTGAACTTGTGCGTGCCAGAATATCTATGCTAGAGCACTCTTCAGTCTGAAACAATTTATTTAAGAAGCACAGGAATGTAAAGCCCTGTCTCATGTCCAGCTCCTATAGGAACGGATCCAAAGCTCCCTTTGGTTTTTCCATTTACAAGAGTGGGAGTCGGATCAGGTCCTGAGGTATTGGTTTTCCTTGCAGGGAAAACCACAATGTGAAGGGTGGGGTGTTATTTAAGGGAACTTGGTGATGGATTCTTTTCAAATGCTGCAGTAGAGATGTGTTTTCAAGTAACACCACTGCTGCTAAAAGCATATCTGTACACCTTGGGTTTAGCATTCTTATTAAAGAATGTTAAAAAAAATTTTTTTTTTTTTGTACTAAGACCTCTTCCTATGAACCTGAACTATTTAAAATCGGAGAGGAAGCTTTTGCTGTCCTAGAAGCTTACTTTGTCATAGGATAGTCCCACTTCATCTAACTTACTCCCATTCACATCACTGACTGGTCACTTGGCACCATTTGCTGGGTTTTTTGGTGCGTTTTTTGGTGGCAGGATAACATACAAAGACCATTAAAGCAATCAGAAGCTAGGCCATTTCTTCCATGCCATCTCCTCTCCACAGCATGCTTTGACTGGCAGAAAGAAAAAGTACTAAAGACAAGACTTCCCCTGTTCATAAACCCTGTCTAGACACAAGGTCTAGACAGGTCCCTTCCAGAACCACGTCATCTTAGCTTTGGTGCTGCATTGCAACGGGTAGTGTTTTGCAACTGCTCAGATGTTGTTTGATGCAGTAGAACATAATGATGTTCCATGGCATTAACCTTTATATAGACTAGATTAAACTGTCCTTTCTGCCTACTCTGTCATAACGGCTTTTTCCAGGCACGTTTTTGATCAATAGAAATTTCCTCCAAAGGGGATGGAGAAGACCCCATAAATTCAGGGTCCCTGACGAGCAGATTATGCTTACAGTAACCCGTGGGCCAGTTTCGCTTTCTCTGTATAATCTGAGGAGAAGCTAAAAATGTCCCCCTCAAGAAATTTCTACAAGACAGACAGGCTTTCTCTTTTTGTGTGATTCCACTAGGGAAAGCCCAAACTTGTAACTTTGTCCTGCACCACAGGTTCTGGAGGCAGCGCAGTTCTCAGACGCCGCAGAGCACAGCCCCAAGGGAAGGAGACAGAAGGAGGCAGTTCCTCTTTTTCATGAGGAGGGTGAAAAATAGCCTGGTAATCAGGATTAACATCAACATACAGGGGAGGAACCTACAATGCTGCATTTTTCAAAACTCTCAACAGTTAACACAGAAATACCATTATCAGAAATGGGAACAGAAAAATCCATCTTTTGTGCTCCAGAGTTTAATAAAGTCTGGATAATGATAATGTTCCTCTTCACTGAATTCCAGGGACATTTGGACATATAAGCTCTCTAAAAATCTCGGCCCATGTTATTCATCATTTGACTCAGTAAATGTCAATAGAGCTTTAAGTCCTTTGATAAGTTAAATGCCACTGGGCAAGCCTGTACCGTCAGGCCATGCTTTTGTTATTCAATTCATTTAGCTGCTCAAACAGACAAATGGCATCAGCCCAGCAGTTAATCATTTCTTCACGCTCTTGCGTTTTCCTTAGGGCAAGAGACAGTTCAGCCTTCATATTGATTTGGCCCAGTACTTTTCCTCCCTGCTCTGGCACATCACGGCTAATTATGCAAGTGACTTTAACAGTGTGAAGTGCTGGGGACTAAGCTGCTTACATCGACTTGAGCTCCAAGCAGAGAGCACGCTGTGAATTCAAACCCAGTCTCGGAAGTAAGTGGATGACACTTTAACTGATCGAGAACACCATCTCCAGAGCCAGGATGAGTTTTGCACTTCGTTGGCCGAGAATCAGAACAAAATCTCTTGGTGAATTTGTGTTTAGGCAGCACAAAGAAAGATCTCTTCCCACAGACTGGGAATTCTTCTTGCCAGAAACAGTTTTCCCTGCTACTACTGCCACCCAGTGAAACTGCACGGTTAGTGGGACGCGCCGTTGTTTCCAGGAACCCTAAAATTCCCTTTCAGGTGTCTGACTGTGCTGACAACATGCAAAACCAGCAGCTTTAAAAGTTACTTGGGTTGTTTCGTTTGTTGGGTTTTTTTTTTGTTTTGTTTTGCGTTCTGGATCTAGAAAAATATATAATGCCAAACTTCAAACAAATGTGCTCAAGCAATCTAGGATATGCACAGATAAACTTGCACAGATAAACATGGCTTAACCAAATTTAATTTGGAATTCATTCAGTCATAATATTATTGTATGCATACACCTATATATAAAATCTATATACATATATATACACACACACACAAAAAAAATCAATTAATCTATATTCATACATACCTAACATGATGAGTTTCCATACTTTTTACAGTTACAGTCACATTGTGACATACATACATTTGGGGCCCATTTCTAGATGCTAAGAGCTAGACTATGAGTATCTTAGACACCTATGCTATTATTTCTTTTAGGGGGAAACCCACTGGTTTCACGCTATCTCTAGGCAAGAGGGTTTTTTTTACACTGCTGAGAATAAAGCTTTCACAATCTGGCGCTACAAAAAAACCCAAACCTAACATAAAAAATACTGTGATCTGCACAAAAAGCACAGAATATGCTCTGAAGTGTCCAATAGACTGCAAATTTAAAAATCCAATAGACTGCAAATTTAAAACTTGCAGCCACAAGTCATCGCAAAATGTCATTAAAAAGTAGCTTTTTGTGGGGAGCCCGCTACGTGAGCACACTTGGTATCTTTCTCTTATTTAGGATATTCAGTGCAGACTCTGGATAAGAAGTCCCCTGACAAAGCAGCAGCATTTTTATTGCTCATGTAAGGCCTGCTCTATACTCTGATGAGCTATCAAGCCACAGTGCATGTCATTAGATTAAATATAAGAACACACAATATATCTTATATATTTTTCTTTCTTTTTACAATTAGCCAGAGGCTTAATGATTAATGACACTGAATTCTTCCTTAGAAGTCATCTAAGGAATCTGTTTTCTCTGCAAGAGGGATGATCATATTTTAGTCTCAGTCCTCTTCTCTGCTACAAATACAGCAGCAGTTTTATAGCTTTACTTAGTTACGAGATATACTTCCCAGCAGCTCTCCCAAAATGGCTCATCACTGATGTTTTTAATATTCACTTTCATAACATCAATTATATTGAACTAGTTCCTTTTTAATGTACATGTTCCATAGGAATTACATTGTAATTTTTACCTGATTAATGTCAACGTGTTAGAAAGTGTTTCTGGAAGTCATTATTAATGGCAATGGTGGTGATTAAGCTAAAATAAGGGTTAAATTAGGAAACACATTAATTACCAACTAGCCATTATCTAGAGAAAAGCCATTAACATACTGAAGTAGGTAGAGCTGGGACTCCAACAGCTGGAACAAATTTCTTTTTTTGCCCTTGATTTTTTTCCCAGTTATTTATGCTTCAGCCACTCATGGTTGCAAGTCCTCCTGCCTATAACACACGTTATTTCTCACTATTAATACTTCCAATGTGTGCCCCCCGCCCCCCGCCCCCCCCCGCTGTTGTTATGCAAGGAGAGCTAGTGTTCAGGCTACCTGCTACCCACTGCATCCAGCAACAACCATACTGATATCACATTTTTCATTGATTCTACTTAAAACTGGTAAAACTAATGCTTTAATGCATCTCGCCCAGTGATCTATTTATTAAGCTCTGTCTCTAACAGAGTGAAAGTATAAATTAACGCAGTTCTTACTTGTGCAAAGCGTTCAGCATTTCTGTTCACTGTGAACTGGTAAGTCATGTTTGGAAACTGAATGCTGACAGGGAGGATGGAGACATTGAAATGAAGCATCACTGATCTTTCTGGACCATGAAATTCTGTGTCATTCACCAAAACGTCCAACTGGAAGGAACGATGCTCTGTGACTGAAATACTTTTATTCAGTACCAGTTCTGCAAAGGAAAAGATGAGCCCATTACCGACCCACATTATCTGCAAATGTGTATATTGATACTTCAATCCCAACAAAATTGTACATATCAAAATTACATGTAACAGGAAACAGAAGGTGAGTTAAATATGAAAATATGCTCCTATGGAGTTATGCTCTGTGCTATTCAAGATGTTTGGAGAGGTCTTCTTCCTTTCCACCTACCACGCTGAGAAGCCTATAATCAGAACCTCTTGCTTCTCAGTATACACAACATCATCCTGTATTCTCCCTATCCCAGAGATGCACAAACTCCATTTTTTCAGCACATGTTTAAAACTCAGCGTTTGCTTAACTTGCAACTTCTCAGCTTTCTTTGTCTCAATACTTACAAAATGCTTGGAAAAGTTCAAGAGCTAATTGGTATTTATTAACAAGCAACTTCTCCTTTATTTGAAGAAAGAGACCTTACTGTACTCATGTTGAGTTCCCCTCACTTGGCTGCCATTTGGGCTGAAGTGGATTTCATCGAAGATGTGCTCTACGCGAAATGTTTCACTTATCCAGGGATCATCAGTAATGATGGTTCCTGTGTATTTCTTTCTGCTGCTTTCAAGTGGATAAATAGGTGTGGTGTCTGCATCATATACAGTTAGCGTTGCAAGGACAGTTCCCTAGAAGGAAATAATAAATGACATTGCTGAATGAGCTGAAGCTTTCTTCCTCTGATATGTGTTTGGGAGATTGAAATATTGGTCAAATAAAACCTTACAAGTTTTACTCAAGCTCACTTTCATTCAAATTCATTTTAAACTTCAGGTTACCACTATTTCACACCTATTTGGATCTGAGTTAGAAGCACAAAAGATGAAGTGAAAAAGAACTTGTCATATAATCATTCAAGTCTATGTCTAAATACAGCGCTAAACTTTCAGGGTAGGAAATGAGCGCACATGCACAGCTCTTGATTTTTTCATTTTTTAAACTCAATGTTTTTCTACAATACTACTAAAAAAAGCAGGTGAGTAATATATGCACTTAAAAGACCTGGAATACATTCAGACAGGTCAAACTCATTACCCAAATGACAGAAGTAGCCTGGGTTGTCTGTCTTCTGCTTAGTCTACTAGATTGCTGTTCCCTATCTGGACACTTGAAGACTAAGAATTTATTAGCAATTATGTTGTTTCAAATTCGTTTAGTTACTACAAAAGATTGACTTCCCAATATAATGCTTTTTTTTTTTCCCCACTGAAAAATGCCAGTGGAATTCACTACGTCCTGAACACTTTGCAAGCATGTAATTTCAAAGAGAATATTTTACTTCATAAAACAGTTCTATAAGACCTTCACCTTCTATTATTCAGAGCTAAATGAAAACTCCCAAATCTAAAAATTTTCAGAAGTAAAAAGGAATTTATGCCCAGGCAAATGTGATGTGTTCATAGGTGTCTTGCCTACATATGTTCTAGTCGGGAGGTGGCAGCAAACTCCTGAAATCATTCTTTTCCCTTCCAGACACAAATACGAGCAAAATATACTTCGAAGGGAATTTGACCACAAAAAAAAAAAAGATGTTGTTGTTATGAAACAGAAGTCATCTCATGAAAACTGCATCATTTAGGCTCCAGAACTGTCTTCTCAATACCACTGACTTATAAAGAGTTGTTGCTCCGGTGAGAAGAACCAAAGAGCCCACCTGTATACCTCTCTACGGAAGCAAGGGCTGTACGTGTGCAGGGGGCACACACAAACACACCCAGGGGTTCAGACCTCTTGAAAGATAACCTTGGCATGGCAAGGGAAAAGCGTGAGGGCAGCATTAAAACAAGATCCTGGAGCTCTCCTCTAACAGCCTGATACTAGAAACTTCAACTCCTTTGCAGGTGCAATATTTGTCTGCAGAAGACAACCGCTTCTCCTAACTTTCTGTACAGCATCCTAATAAATGTTCTGAATGTAGTTCTGGTATCTTATATAGATTTGCATATATGGGAAGGATACACACATACACTTGCTCTACAAACACTCCATTTTAGTCACCTGTGGGAAGCAACCCTGTAACAAATACAGAGTAGAGCTCAGTACGGGGAGTTACAGTGATCCTGACCACAGTCTCAGCAATGGTCCATCCTGACCTCAGGAAACACTCACATTTCCTTACGCTGTTTAATTCCTGACCCAAACTCTTGTAATTTGGGGTCTGAATTCTACACACTCAGCATTTTACAGTCATAGCTCTAAAGAGCACCGTGTGGTCAGGTGCTTGATGCTGAGACCCATTACCCAGAGCATGGTGTTTCCCAGTCATTGTGCCTCCCACCGCTGTGCTCCTACTTCAGGGAGTAGATAAAGGAGAACATTACCTCCTTCCTGTTGAACTCCACGACAGCATCTGCAGTATCAGTGCCATTGGGAAGGAAGGGAGGAGAGTCATCTTCATCTAACACGTTCACCAGGAAGGGCACCCCGACCTGCATTTCCCTGAAGCCCTCTCTCACAGTACATTTGGCAATGAGCTCATATCTCTCTCTCTCTTCTCGATCTAGGCGCTGCGTCACGCTCACACCAGTAGTGTTCTCATTGTACCGAAAGGGCATACCTTCAGCTGAAAAACACAGCCACAGTATAAACAGGGACAATCACCTCCCATTATAGGGCTCACACTTTTTTTTTTTTCTTTAATACTCTTTTGCAATCAAGTAAATCCATTTGGACATCACAACTGCACCATAAAAGGCAGACTCAGAAGTGAAACAGTTGTGGGACTCTGTTAGGGTAGACAGAAAACATGGAATTGATGGGAAGATCCTACAGTCTAGAAGAAGCACAATTTAAAGCTCAGGATATTCCCAATCTGCTCTTAGCAGGTGCAAACTTCTAAAGCCAATCTTTTCCTTAGGGAAGGAGATAGTCCTCCCTCCCATCCCCTCTGTATATCTCAGAGGCAAAACCCTCAGGCTTAGGTCACGTTTGCAAGAGAATTTCCTTTACAGGATCAGTCTAGAAGATCTACTACACGAGAGATCTTAACAGCTCAGCTGTTTATGGCTGGTATGCAAGTGATTCAGTTCCAGTTTTACCTGCCAGCAGTTTATAGGAAATGCTGAGATTCTGACACAGATGGTGAACTGAGGGTAGCTGGAGCTGATGAAATGTGCCAGGTGGTTTATTCTCCTTGATGTGAAAGGAGAGATCCATTTCTGTGAAGCAAAGCTGCCTTGCTGTCAGGGAACTGCAAGCTGGTGCAGTAGCATTGATCAAGGAGAGGAAAACCGTGGTGCGCATAGCAGAGTCGCATTCCTTCTCTTGGAAAGGGTGGGATGAAAGGAAGACATAGAGCATCACCTTTGATAAGGGCATCCAGTTTCCTACAGCTTCAGAGAAAAAAAAACACACCAGAAGAAATATTTTATAGAAGACAAGCCAACATCTCTTTTACCCATTTTGTGCTCTAGTCCATTATTCCACAAAACAACCACATATAATCTTAATACCCCCAATAAGCCAAAAAACTATAGGTGTTACCACCAACCTTACCTTGTAGAACCTCACAGAACTATATCAATGTTCTGTCTGTAAGACACTGACATAAAACAGGTTACTATCAGTAATCAGCTTTTAACAGGACGGTTTTTTGGAGGGACTAGAGCAGAGTGGGATGGCAGCAAAACAGCAACAAATATTCAGGACAGACTCACAACAACTACTAACTGTCCTGTAAGTTACAGCATTCTGAGAGTTTATACCAGTGGAAGATATAGGCCAAATTATTTATATTTAGAGGACAAATTGCTTCATTGTTTCAAAATATAAAGAGTTGGTCAAAAAGTAACATAGAAGTTAAAATCAACCTGTGGCATCTGCTAATACACCCTCAAGCCTTAATTATTTTGATTGCCTTGGTTTGACTACAGACAGAATGATAGCATCTCTGTAATAGATCTGATTCACTTGAAAAGATGTTCCAGGTCACTTTGATCCATATGAACAAACCAACTCTCAAGTTCTGGATAGCTATTCGTAACTGAACAAAGGAAGAATAGCTATCTGATATTCATGAACACAGACTACCAAAATGCAGCAAAAATGGGTGAGATATCGAGGATTTAGCACTTAAAAAATAAAGCAGTAAGCATCTGAAGTTGAACATTTAAACATCAAGGCACCCAAGTCAAAGGGTAGTGTTGATATACGGCTCTTACAAACTCAAGACAGTTACTACAGACCCTCCAACAGCAGAATTTCTGCAACTGATCACAGTGGTATGCCATTAACTCCTCACCCATTTCCTCCTCCACCATCTAATGATACCTAATTTCCTCATAGATCAAAATCACCAAAACCAATTTACTGCTAGAGCATAAAAGGGGAAAAACTGAGAAAATTAATTTCTGTAGTTCCATAGTAAGCTTCTCTAACAAAGCCAAATCTCAAGAGAAGGAAAAGAGGCACACTTAACCATTTCTTCCAAGAGCTGTTTCGTGTTACACACAAATGTACTTTGTCAATCCATGTGACCAGTGTTCAGGGACTGTTTATATAAAAGTTCAAACTAATCTAACTGCATTGGTCTGGGCACTACGCGCCCAGCATTAGCACAGTGCAATTGGTTTAACTTGCATCAGCAGATGAACAAACTGCAAATATCAATGTAAAGCTGTGACTTATACAGCTGTGAAATGCAGAAAAAAATATTTCAAGTAATGCAACTTTCCCACTGCATTGGAGTCCACAGTGTGAGCAACTGGATCGGTCCCAGGTCAGTGTTTGCCTTGGCTTATTGTTCCCTGCAATTGCTGTGGGCTTCATTGGGTCTGGTTCCTCGTTTTAAAAGGGCAGATGTGTTTTTTCCAAATTTGATGGTCATATGCTGATGGATAAACCTCATGATCTTAATGTACTTTACTTTAACAGCAGATACTTCAAGAAGAAATGTTAGCCATCTTATACTTACACAGCATGTTAAAGTCTTCTCTATCCAGGCTTTTGCTGAGGTAGAGAAGTCCTGTTTTTTCTCTGATTTGAAACCAGTGATTTTCATGGGATCTCGCTCGAGAAATGATGAGGTTCTGGCACAGATGAAAGTGGGCCACTTCCCCGTGTGAATCCCTCAAGGCATGGATGCGCAGGAGCGGCGTACCTGCTGGCTGATCTATGTAGACATTCTCTGAGTACTCTTTCCTGGGGAAGTAGAGACCAAAGGCAGCTGCAAAGGAAGGCACACAAGAGGAGACGTGCTCCCAGTTAAATGATTTTGCACCAGCATTTTCTTGAGAGATGCTGTCATGGTTTAGCACCAGCCAGCAACTAAGCACCATGCAGCTGCTTGCTCACTCCCCCCCACAGGGTGGGGTGGGGGAGAGAATCAAAAAGACTCATGGGTTGAGGTAAAAACGGTTTAATAGGACACCCACAGGGTGGGATGGGGGAGAGAATCAAAAAGACTCGTGGGTTGAGGTAAAAACGGTTTAATAGGACAGCAAAGGAAGAGGAAAAAAAATAAGTAATACTGACAAAGGAATCTACAAAAGCAAGTGCTGCACAACCCAACAACTGCTCACCACCCGGGATTGATAGCCCGTCCCCGAGCAGCGATTCCCACCCCCCAGCCAACTCCAGTTTATGTACTGGGCACGACGGCCCACGGTCGGGAGTGTCCCTTGGGCCAGCCTGGGCCAGCTGTCCCAGCTGTGCCCCCATCCCGGCTCCGGGGGCACCCCGCCGCTGGCAGAGCGTGCGCAGCCCAACGGTCCTTGACGGAGTGTAAGCACTACAACTACTTAGTATCAGCCTGTTATCAACATTATTCTCATACTAAATCCAAAATGCAGCACTGCACCAGCTATCAGGAAGAAAATTAACTCTAACCCAGCCACAAGCAGGAAAGATGCATTTCCAAAGAACCGAAGGCTTCAGTCTCCAAGAATTAAAGCATGAAAAAAGATGTGGAAAAGGCAGATTCTCATCTGGTGTAAATAAATATAGTTTTACTGCACTCAAGCCAGGGACATAGCCACCAAAAATTTGGCTTACAGTTTATGTTCAAGTCACAAAATCATCTGCTTTTTGAAAGCAAAACTGCTTTGCTATAAACACGGCCCAGTTGAAGCAGAACACTTAATGAAGCTCTACTTGCCAAACTTTACTTAAGTTCCTATCTGGAGCTCTCAGCTGTAATTCCGTTATCTCACGAATGATATTCAAAGAAGGAAAAAACCTTTGATGAAATCACACACTTTAAAGGCCTAAACACACTCGCTGTTGAGAGAAAACACAGAAATGTATTAATGGCTTGCACACTTTCCCTTGGATTACATAAAACTTCTTTTACACAGGAGTCCTTTTGTGGCTCCCTCCCTTTCTAAACAGGCCAGCATGATACTTCTGGTAGAGAAAATGGGTGCTGTTTAAATAAAATTGATGTGAAAGTCTTATAATTCTTTTAAATACAACAGATGGGAAAGCTGAGAGCTGGCTTGCCCGAGGTGGGGAGGGGGATATACATTTATTTTCAACGCAACGGCTGTGACCGACCCATTGTTCTTCTCCGCCATTTCCCCCTCTGACACTGCAGACATTTACACGTTGTAGGGCTCAGCTGCCCCTCGATGCCTGTTTCTTCGGCTGATCTCATCTCACCAGGTCACTTTGCAATGGCCTCTCTACCCCTTCCCGACGCTTCCCTTCCAGTTTTACCGCTTGCAAACGCGATGGCAGTGGAATGCTTGATAAGGAAGGCAGGCACAAAGCGATGCTCCCTGCACTCGTGCGCACTGAAATACTGGAACTGTCACTCTTGCACTTCACCGGCACTGACAGGCAGTACTTGCTCCCACACAAAAGAATGCTTGCATATTGCAGAATTTTGCATCATTTCGTCTGATTTGATAAGGAGTAAGGCTTATCAAATGGAAAAGGCTCACACATCTGCTGAACAAATGAAAATAATACCAATTTCATATGTTACTAATACAGGACTATCTTGGCTTAAATAAAGCCAGATACAACTGGAAACGACGGTAATACAGCAGTAAAATTAGGGATGTAATGCCAAAACATCTTCAAAATAGCATCGCTCTATAGCGCGTATTTTTTTATTATTATTGGATCCATACACTGTTCTACTGAATGGAGAGGACCGCAAACAAACTGTAAACAAGAGACCTCTAATTTCGTTTGGAAATACCACAGAAACCACTGTACCTTGCAATGATTCATGACATCATCAGTACCCCTGGCTGCAATTACATCCATGAGATTTACAGAGGCCCGTTATTTTTTCTACATATATTTTGCAATATATGAATAAAGTGGTAAAGTAATATGGTAGGTGAATTTGCTCCAAAGTAATTAATTCAAAGGGAAGCCAACAATAATCTTTCTGAGAGTTTTAGAAAAGCATTAACTCCTGACGTCCCCTGTCTGGAAGAAAATTTTTTGTTTGCTGGATTGCTCAACATTGGTAATAAATTCCAAATATTTTTCCAGCTGCTTTGTCTGTCTTTTTTGAAGTGGAGGAAAACCTGGTGAATATGCACCACTAGAAGTCCTAACAAACTGCTTCGTTAACAAGAGGAGTAAGGTGATATCCAAAGAGCAAGCCCAGTCTCAGTGCAAGGAAATAGATTTCCTTGAGGTATTTTCTATAAAATCTTGATTCTAGAATTATAAAAACTTCCTTACGAAAAATTCAAGACTGAGAATTCACTGCTCGAGACCAAAAAATGACTTTTAACCCACCGATGTATACAAATGAGGCTTATACAACATTAGCTAGAGGACAGAGAAATATTTCCTTATTTCCTTATTTCCAAGACGGGGGTGAACAGTTCTAACGGGAGTGATGCTGGGTGCTCAGCATCACAAACACATCACGTTGTGCAAGAACCGGCACCACAGCAGAGACATTAAATCACCTCCCGTAAAAGGAGCACATAGAAAATAGAGTATATATAAACAGTACAGATGCGTAAAGTGTGAAACTGGAAAAAGGAAAAAGGAGTATTTTTGAGTTGTAATTATTTATTTCCATGTGTTAATCTTTATATGCTCTGCTCTACAAATCTGGGCCCACACTGCATGCTAGTATTATTTACACAGTTGTGTTCAACAAAGCACATGAATAATTATGCCAGACATCACCACTTGACCGTCTGAAACATTGCATGCAACCACACCTCCGCAGAGGTCCGCATCCTGACGGCTCAGCATTTGAAAGAAAAAGTTAGCATTTATTCTGCAGACTCTCCGAAATTCTTTGGCATGAGCTCACAGGAGCGGTCTTCTCCATTCTCAGAAAAAAAGGGGGAAAAAATCCTGTAATATAAAAATTGGATTTCTCTGTACATAACAGAAATACAAAACAATGCTTTGTATTTTGAAAAGAGGAGAGGATTCCTTAATAAAATAATTTAGAATTTGCATCGTTAATTAACCAGAAATGTTTTTCACAAATATAAAACCACTTCAAGAAATTAGGAAAAGCCGCTGTACGAAATTTAAGCAAGATCTTTTTCTCCCTGATTCAAATCTAAAAGCTGCTAAAAATAAATTCTGTCCTTCAAAAATGTTAGCTTTTGGTACAGAGCATACGTCTATATTAAGGACAACACCTAAGGATAGTTTTAAGTGACACCAGTGGATCTCACATACTTCCATGTTTTACTTCGTATTTCAACTGAAAAGTTTACAACACTGTAGAAACTTAGATGGTAAAAATAAAATAAATAATAAAAAAAAATATTTAGCCATGCAACAAGATTCTCCCAGTGCTGCTGACCTTGAAGTTACTGGGATTTTGTAACGTGGTTTGTGCCACACTCTAACTCCATTCCAAGCACTGAAAGAGATGAGAGGTATGCAACTGCCTGCCCGGGTCACAACGACACTCCGCATATAAATCTTTGGAGGCTGATTTTGAAGGAGATCTTTGAAGGAGAAATGTAGCACCCACTTCTCTGAGCTGCATTCATTCCTTTAAGCCCTAGTAAGTTAAAACCAGATTCAATAAACTTGCCATCTGGCAAGTATGCTGCAGGAGGAAGAGGTTCTAATCCCGGCCACAGTTCCTTGTGTCCCGAAAAAAAATAAAATAATCAAGTTCCAAGGACTTGTGCAAGCTTCCTATGGAAGCCAGATGGAGTTTTTATTGAATCTGCCATTTAAATAAAGAGGAATTGAGATAGTTACACTCAAAACTGATGGTAAGTGCTTTTGCTTTGGAATTAAAAGCAGAGAAACATTTCACGTTGTAACCTTGAAAGACACCACAAGAAGGTTGTGCCCTGTAACGTACGTGAGTAACATAATATACATAGAGAAAGAGTGTTACTGCAATATTTTGTAGTCTCTGAAATTATTTTTTAGAGGATGCTTCAGCTCTCCTCTATTCTACAATCAGCACAGAAAACATGGCAGCCTCTGATGGATGAGCAATATTACGTGATAATAGCATATCACTAACATACAGAAGAGAAAAGTGATCACGTTTAAGCAGACGTAATGCTACTGACTAATAGCTCCTACAGGAAATAGATACAGTTATGACAGCAGTTCTCCAGTTCAGGGAGAGAAAGCAGATAAAATGAGAGCGGAGAAATGAGATTATATATACTTTGAAGCCTTCGTGATTGCCTTTTGAAATAAGGCAATTTTTCATGTGGCTTTTTTCAGTCGTGAATGATTAGGTAAATAATGCCTTTTTTGATACAAATTGCTTTTTTTGTACAAAATTTGTTACAGAAAACTTCATATGGTTTTAGTGCGTTTTATGCTTGCCACTATAGAGTTGAGTGGCATCGGCCGACTACTCTCGATGAAAACTATTAAACTGACTATAGCAACATTATACGCTTACCATCAACCACTATGAGGAAAAAGATAATTTAACTTTTTAATCACAAAATTAAGTGGCATGAAATTTTTTATGAGTAAAGAGGAAGACTCCACTGTGAAAGACAGTCTCCCAAACAATGTTTGCAGCCATCTTTCAAAGTAAAATTGCAGACTTCAGAAAACATGTTTTGAAGCAAATTATCCCAGTCACAAGATTTCCTCTGGAAAAGAATGTGTTTAGATAACTGGGAAACCACCTCAGGCCCACGTAGATCGCTTGCAGAGTCTCAAAGCACGTTGGAGATGGTGAGAAGAGAGGACAATCCGCAGGAACAGCGAAAGCAGGGCACTGGTCAAATTCAAGGCCCGCCA